CTTTTATTTTCACCCTTATTAGGGAAAGGTAGGGAACCCAGGTTACAATGTTTGTCTTTACATAGATAGAGAAAGGGATGTTCAGGAGGTTCGAATTTTATAAGACAAGTTAGTAAGGGCCGCTCAAGGCGAACTTGCGTCGACGAAATTGAGAACGTCCTCAGGAAAGGCATATGAAAGTGTGTATGAAAGTATTTTAAGCGTGTTGATGAGGCGACAAATACTTGCCAGGTTCGTAATATGTATTCATCTTTGGACCCTGCCTATTCTGATGGTCAAAGAGCATGAATTAGATGTATATACGCAATCCTCAAATGAATATGAGACGGATTTACTCAGGTTTTCTTGGGAATATTTATTCTATTCGTATGATTGAATATTCTGAAACTTAAAATGAATGTTATATAAACTAAAATATTTTGGTTCTCCAAAATTATATAAAAAAGGTGATAAAACGCTGTGTTCAAATTATCTTGAAAACGAAAGAAAAAACTAAAGTTTTATAAATCTTGCCACGGCTATACTTCAAAGTAAATAAAAACAGATTTCTTTTAAACTATTTTAAATAAAAGAGAAAGAAAGAAAGTTTTAAAAGGCACAAAAGTTTGCCTGGGAAAGTATTCCTGGCATCAATTAATTACCTTCCTTCGAACTACGCCTGAATACTCTACAAAGAAAAACATTCGCCCCTAAGAAAGAAGAGTTCGTTCCGAAAAGAAGTGCCGCTATATCATTTCTTGCCGCCAATTACCCAAGGAGCACACTTTATAAGCCTTAAAACTGTTATATCTATAAACAGTCTTAATATGGTATAGATTTAGATAATAGTTCTCTATGAATGGTTTTAGAAAAAAGAAATTGTTCTTATAGACTTATATCACTCAATCTTATAGTCCTTATTTTGAATTCATCTGTAGAACAACTGATTATTTTTAGTAAAATTGTTCTATACACATCCAGTAAAGCCTATTAATACTCTAAAAACTAGTGTTCTTAAGCTTATTCTAGATATATTTCATTTATAGACATTTTTTAGTGTTTGTACTTATTAACAAACACGTTATAGCGTCTTCAGTAGATTTTATTAAAAAATACTACTATTAGGGTTTTTACTCTATTGGACGTTGTAAGAGTTCATGCAAAATGGATAAAGTAAAGAATATTAAAAGATCTGGTGGAGGTGGTAATCCTTGGATATTAAGTCATTCATTCGATACAATCAGCGTTGCCAATACCAATTGTTCCAAATCCCCAAAAATCACTATATATTGATAATAGTAACGTATACACTCAACATAGCCCCGCACTAGGGAAACCCTGTGTCACAGGTGGTACGTAGACACCCACAAATTACATCCAAACTCAGGAGAGAAATAAATGTAGGCCATACAAATATTTCTCCCGACCCGGGAATTGTACCTGGGACCTCTGCATGACAGTCAGTAGTAACCGTTTGGCCACAGAGGCAGTTATATTAATTATAATATTAATTAGATTCAACATTAATCTGTAATCAGTCTGAACAAAAAATCATTTTTCTTTGCCTTACAAAATTAAGTAAATTGATTATTTGTTGTGCATTTGGTGACACTATGTTAACGTTAGAAATAATCAATGAGTTTCGACCTATATTTAATATTTAAAGTTGACGAGTGGTAAGTTGTGGTGTGGAAGTACTAACTGCTCGGCTTTGTTTATCAATAGCTGATTTCGTTTTGCTTCATACCGGGGACTGTCCTAAGTGGGAGAAAGAATCGCGAACTCAACATGCTCCGACTGGTAATTTTACAATTCAGAACCAAGTGCTCTAATAATAATTCTATTTAAGCTGCTTGTTAATAATACGAGGGATGTGCGATGTTGAATAACACGTCGATATAGTCCATCACAGTGTTTCTAACAGTAACGATCAAACTAGCGATACATCAGCAATTGATAGATGAAACAAAATGATAAAATGTTAGAATCCCCACATTTTCCTCACATAGCGCCAATCCCCACAAAATCCCCAATCTAATTGAAACTCCCCACAATTTGGGAAATTGGCAACACTGGATACAATAGTCGTAATTCGTGCTCGGGCCTGTCATGGCCCTAGTAATAGTCGTATTTGTTTTGTTGACAAATAAATAAACATTGTGAAGTAATTCCGTGTTGTGAAATGATAAAAACAATTGAAATGAGCGCGTTAACTACTGTACTTTAATGTTGTGTATGCGTATTGTGCTGTCTATCAATAGAATACAGTGAAATCATTGTGTGAAATGTGGTTGGCGTGAAAAAATAACCTCAATTTTGTAATGAAAATTTTATTTCTTCCATCATAACTTAGGTATGTCATTAAAATATTCCTTATATTTAAATGATAGGAAATTTATCCACCTTTCTAGTCATATTATAACACATTCCATATAATTATACACAATAACATGTTTTTTGTGACAAATTGGATTTTTTCCAATTGTTTTTATGACCTAGTGTTTTGAAAAGTTTTTTATTGCATAAAACGCTCACTTTTTCGTATAATCTTATAAAGGTTTAATACTGTCAAAAGAAAAAATCGCTTAGTAACATCACGTTTTGTAGACAATCATAAAAATCTCATAGGAGGAATATTCTTCGACAAGTTCAACTACACTAAAGCAAGTAAAAATATTCTTTTCGTATTCTAAAGTTTTTCTATAAACAAAACCAAAGACAAAATGCTCCAACTGTGTTTTGAAAAAAGCTTTAAATTCTTATCGCTATTTTTATTTTTAAAGAATGACTATGAAGTAGCCGAGAAAAATTTCTTTTCTTTTTAAAAAGTAAATCTAAGTTGAAATTAGCTTGAAGAAGCCTAGAACTTCTTGGAAATGGTTCGTATGTGAGTTTCCTTGTTTTATTTAGCCTTTCTATAAATATTTAAAACCGAAAATCTATAACTGTATTTTTATTAAGTTTATATTTTATACATAAATATTTAAAATTTAGCGAGCGCATTACTTTTATGACAGGTTTTACATCACTTTTCACAATGTATTTAAAGTCGCACGTCAATTTGCGCTTTCTAACCGATTAAACATTGTGCGAAAAAGTCAGAAATATTATATCTAATTTCGCCATGTTGCAATTTTGATAGTTTATATTTTGTAAGCCATTAAACTTGAAATCTATTAGTATTAAGAGAATTGCGTCCTATGTTTGTAACGCTTTAGTATTTTGGTTTTAAAATAGCATTACTAAGAAAACTATATCCATACTATATCCATACTATATCCATATGCCATATCTAGATGCGGGATGGATAAGTCATAATTCTTACATCCATGTTTTTGTTTGTTGCGTGTGAATGCCGGCCGCATCGTGCAACTACCTTCATCGGAACTAATTGCAGATAAATTCAACTCAAAACGTATGATTTTAATTTTTGTCTACCTACATTATTTTTCTTAATACGCAGTGAATGGTGATGGTTGTATAGATTTTAGTGCGCTTTACTATTAAGTTTTGAAGTAAGATCTTAAATTTTCTCTGTAAGTGAATTTATATTCTTAAGAGAAATAAATATTCTTTAACCATACTATCATAGACCATAAATTATCTAAAAACTATCTACAAGACTAAATAAAAACTGTCTACATTCTGTGTCAACAATGGTCTTGTAGCATTCTAGGAGGGTTACTTCAGAAAAAAGATAAGAATCACTCATAACACTACCTACATATAGTTTCCCAAAGCACTCTTGTGATCTACTAATAAAGTTGTGCTCACTTTTATTTTAAATTATCTAGAAACCTTCTTCGAGATATCTTGAGGGAATATGACTATGGAATAGGGAATATGATTTGGGCAGTACTGTAAGCAGTGAGATTTTGAACATTAAGGGTGCTGGTGACATGGATCATGTTTAGTTTAAGACTTGGTAAGGTGACGAGGCAGTGGCAGTATCCCTCAGACCATTGCGATTAAAGCTCTGTGTGTCACGGCAGCAGTTATGGTCAAAAGTGTCGCTTAACACCAGACGTACGACTTGTTCGTCGCATTATCGATATCATTAAAAAAAGGGGCGGTTTGTATGGTAGAATCATAGGTGATTCTGGTATCTTTAGTACTCTAACATATAGCCTCATTTGGGATTCAGTTCATCAGAGTAACCCCAAATTCTGGTTTATAATAAAGACATATTTTCATATTTTTTTCGAAAATTTTTTGTTACACTCCTGTAACACTCTCACCAGAGAGTATATCAAAATTGATTTGAGAGAATAATTTTCTCTGAACCTTGTAACTTGAAACCCGGCATGGAAACTCTTGAGCGAATAATCTAGCCTATATTAAGTTTGTTTTTCGACCTTACCCCTAAAAGATAAATAGACAATGTTGATTTTGCAAGCGTAAATAGCCTGGGACTAAATATACTTTCAACTTAGTAATAATATTTTGAAGCATATAATGGAACAGCTTTTAAAGATTGAATTATTAAGCACTAAAGTTTTAAAAATAAGTACACATTTGATCTCCGTCTCCACCTGATGGAAAGTGTCAATGAACTTGACTATGGCGCTTGCACACCTATGTGATGTCTATTCACTCTTACCTTAAAAAGGCCCAAGTTATAGCGTTCAGGAAACAAATCTGCAGAAAAGGAATTCCAGTACATCGCCACGTAACGCTTCGTACGAATTTTGGGTATATCTACAACATAGGGATAGAATTCTGGCTTACATCTAGTCCCCCGTTGATAGAAAGGGGGTGGCGGAATGATATCATGTAATTCCGTCACACACTGTAAGTTATATATCCTGTAGAATACTGATGAGCAGACAACTTTACGGCGGTGTTCAAAACTTTGCAGCTTCGAACTAGCTTAGCTTCTCCTAAATCCAAGTCCTAATAAATGTCTTGACATGTTTCTTCATTCAGTAAAACGATATGTTAAAATTAACATCGGGCAATCATATTTCCTAAGAATAAAAACTTAAATATTCATGAAAACAAATTTAAAAAAAATTTGTTTTTAAAAATTCCTAAAACACAAAAAATGTAGTGCTAAAATTTGTCAGCCAAAAGATCATAATATTTTAAGTTCATTGTCCTGAAACTTGGTATATGGATAATTTTAATTACGCATTTTTTGGTTTTTCGAAACTATCCTTTAACGGAGGTGCAGTCTCTCTAACTCAATGAGCGCATTTTTTTAATTGACGGGACGAACAAGTCGTGGGCCTAGTAGTAAGCGACACATCTGTTCATAACAGTTGCAGTGCCACTAAGAGCCTTAAGCGCAAAGATGATAGGGGCACTGTCACTGCGCTTGTCACCCTGAGATATAAGATGACAAGTCCCATGTGCTTGTAATTTCACCAGCATGAGCACCCCTGCCCTTCCTGGCAGAAATAGGTAAGGTGGCAGTACTTACCTGGACGAACTCTTTCACAAGAAGCTCTATTGCTACTAAATAATAGTACGAGTATATTCTTACACCGATTGGCAAACTGCTGTAATATACTTGTTATTACAATATAGGTTATAAATAAATAAATTAAGAATATTTCTAAAAGTTTCAATTATTAATAAAAAAAGAGGCACTCCTAGCACAATCAGTATAAGTATTATTAACTTAAAATGAATTTCGAATCCAGACTTGTGAACTAGGCCTAAGTTAAAGTAATTTTTTTTATTGTACTTTTGCTAACTTAATATTTTGTTTTAGATTTACAGGTTCTTTAGTGACCTGTTTGTGGTATTCTTGGTATCCTTCATCATGGCAGTATTTGTGGATTCACCGTTTCGAAATTTGATGAAACTTACTTTGGGCCGCGGTATGTATTATAACTAAGTGAGGTTTTGTTATTTCAATAACAAACATTTTTTATTTTGCATTAAACAGCTGATTTATTTAATCACCCTGTATTGAAAATATTTCTATACTTAGTACACGGCTCGCGTATATTCAAGAGTACATCAAACTACAGACTTTGATCCGTTGTTATCGCAAAGGGAATAAAGTTGAATTTAAATCTTAAGTGTCAAACTTGACGTACGGTTGACCCTGTACTAAGTAAATGGTAATAATTTTCTCAAAATAGGAATAAAATGAAATGTCAGTGAGTATAAATGTATTTTTTTTTGTAGGACCAAGAAAACCGAAAGTATTGAAACAGGACAACGCAATGCCTAAACAAAAATTAGCCAGACTAAATGGTAATAATAATTTTTATTAATTTAATTGATTTCTCTCAGAAAAACCGAAAATCCAAAGATCTGCAACAAGCACATTGAAAGATTCGTAGGGTCACCTGGTTCGTTCCGTAGGTCAGTGGGCTGAGAGTCGGGAAATAATTACAACAAACTAGTGGAGTAAATTCACAAAAAATAATTGAATATCATTATCAATAAACTTTAATATACTACTAATCCTGCTAACAACTAACTACCCTACCAAAATATAAGGAACAGCTGTTTCTTTTTTAGTTCATTTGATAGTGGTCACCATACTTTAGTTGTAACTATCTATGAGTACATTCATTACCTAAAATATAATGTAATAAATAAACGTCACACTGTATTGAAACTAATACTATACACGACTTTACTACCATCCACCAGTACACCAATACACCTCTACACACTAAGTTACATACAGTGGCAAAGATTTGCTACAAAGAAAAATGATTATAATAAGACTTATATTTCGGAATGGTAAAGCACGGCGCAAACGTTTATATTCTATTTTCTTACAAATAGCGGTTGCGGCAACCGGCGACAATGTCCGATTGTACCAACCGGCGACTGCGTCCGGTTGCCGCAACCGGCAAAATTGTCGGTTTCATATCAATTGTATGAAAATAGAACATTCGCTTTAAGTCGTCGATTGCTTGTATCTGCCTACCGACCCTATCTACCTATTGTCCCTATCTCCAACCCGAGAGATAGGGTTTTCCGAAGAGACTACGGGTTCGCATGCAAGAAGGGTACAGCGGGCGTCTGGGATAAGCCCTCCGCCAGTAATACGCCTTTGCGTCTCTGGTGGACCTGGACTTGGGTATGGACTCGTTGGGGTTTGTGGTTAGCTGCAGAGACGGACATGTTTGTCTGCCCCGGTTTGGTGTGGCCGGAGCGTCTGTATCGTGAGCAGCTAGCGCGTCTTAGTAGCGGTCTAGTTGAGGGCCTGAAGCGAGGAGACGTGCGCGGGACACGTGAGTTGCCCTTTAAATTGGAAGCTATGTCCGGACATTGTCGCAGGACACTGCGACTGGCATCTCCAGCACTGGCCCGGAGAGCTAGTAGAGGATAAGCTAGATATACTCCAGTCCCGCCAGCCGCTTAGGTTATTGGGAACTGGAGAGACGTCGTTTTTCGACGTCAGGAAGTAAGCGTGCCTTACAGCTCCGCCACCAATGACGAAATTTGGTAGTGGACTTAGAGTCGACGGCTTAGCGGTGGTAACCGCTAGTTGTGCAATACGCAACGGGAAGTGAGCGTGCGTACACCTCCGGTACCTATCTGAAAAATAGGGAGGGTACTGTACGTGCATCCGGCGCGGCTCACCCGAGGTACTAGGCTCTCGAAGAACCGGATGTAGTCAAGTGACAGAGGTCTGTGACAATGCTGTACACTGGCTGATCTGGGGTCAGAACCTGAACTTGTAAGGTAGCTGTGCGCGCACATGTCATAATGCCCTTCCCGCATAACCAAGAGGTTAATAGGAAAGGGGCACTATAAACAAAATTTATGTAGAATGATATGGGACTGCTTGTATCTACCATGGGGTAATTTTCCGAAAAAATTCAAATAGAGGAAATTTTCCCGAAAAATTGGAAAAATATATTTTGGAAGGCTCATATTATGTTCTTCGTTTAGAAATATCTTTTATAGTTTTATTTTGAATTATAAAATAAACTAATAGCATAGATAAAAGCTGCATAAAGAAAATCGAGATTTAAAATGATTTCACAAAGCGAAAAAACCTAGAATCACACCATCATCACTTGTTGTTGGCTCCATCGTTTTCGTTCAGTAGCTTCAATTTTTGATTGATGTCAACGTCAAATGTGGAAAATGAAAGGAAAAATATTGTGGATACAGTTGTATTTCTATGTATAATGTTACATGCTAAATTGCAATGGGGTCCACATATAAGTAAGTTATCAAAAAGACTCAGCTCTGCAGTGTACGAGATTAAATAAATACGGAAACTTTCCGACGTCGAAACCTCTTGATTGGTTTTCTTCAGCTACTTTCACAGTCTAATGACATACGGCATTTTGCTTTGGGGTAATGCTGCCGATATCAATAGAATCTTTATCCTGCGGAAATGTGAGGTTACAGCAATTTACAACGAGAGTACATTTATGATAATTAAATTAATGTTAAGAGGAGTAGTAATTTTTTTATGAAAAATAGTGACAGACGTAACAATACGAGGAATAAAAATAAGCTAGCTGTTCATGATAGTCTTCACAAAGTCACAAATTCATTTAAGGGTCAATGTTTACGCTTCTATAACGATTCCGGTTGATATACAAAATTTGCCATTCACGAGGTTTACAACAACAGTGAAACAAAATCGTTATACCAAAGGTTATTATATAATTTCTGCGTACTTGGATGACAAAAATCCGTGGTAGTAACCCGTTTAGCTCATGAAGCTAGTCTCGATCTCTGATGTTTGAAAACAAAAACAAATATTGTAAATGTTGAATGTGTACAAATGTTATTTATAAAGAGCAAGCCCTAGAGTTTCTTGCTCATACTTCTCAAGGGAATCTGCCTTACGAATGAGCGGTAGAGTTTAACCAATGTGACGATTTGAATTGTAATAATGCTCTGTATGAAATAAAGATCAAAATATTGATTTGATTTGATTGGAAAAATATTCGAAAAGATCATTTCAAAATGGTAATTTTTCCATGACCCAATGCTACTTATATCCAACACAAGGCTCCAACTTGACGTAATCAACCCGTGGTCATATAGCATACAAGCTTTCCGAAATGTAGGGAAAATAATAAGTCATAATGTGGTGTGATAATAAAATTGTAATATGATTAACGTAGGCAATGCGATATTGTTTAATCCGTATATATATTTGTATATATATTATGTATATAAATAATATAAATAAACCAAACCACATTAAGGGAGAAATTTGTACTAAATAAATTAAAATATACCAGCCAGTTGAATATTCTAATCAAAAAAGGAATGTAAAATACAAACTGACTTAGCACAATTCGATGGGATTAAAAAAATACCGGCTCTCAAAAGCACCTATTTCATCAGGAAGATGGATTAAAAATATTGCCGACAGACCGACGTCCAATGTTGTCACGAGATTATTTTAATCAATCTAGAGCTCGGTCGGTCCTTATAATCGATACTCGATGACTTCGGTGGCGTTTTATACTGTGGGCGTTGATTGAGGGGATCCCAGCCTCGATTCCCAGCGGGATCAGTTTGGAAAATGAACTTTTCTGACCATAGTTCTGGTCGGTTTGTTCTGTGTAGTATAAATTCTGTTACTCAGAACTCATATAACATGGAGTTTTCTGCTTTGAGATGACATAATTAGTTTGATTGTCTAGCATAATAGGTATTTAATGTTTGGGTAACTTTCAGGTTAGTCGTCTATTTGATTAAATTCTATAATACAAAAAACTATCGATGTGTAAACTGGCCACCATTATTCTTTTCTCTTTACTTTCTAATCCTGTGGGAGTTGCTGTCAGTTATATACCTCGCTTAGTTTCCTTATTATTATTGGAATTGGAGTAATGGTAGAAAGAAATACAAAGAATCAAGACTGGGTACTTGTTATTTAAGTATTCGAGTATATTATAATGAAATATTTCAGGATACTACACTCATATACTAAATAATATTTCAGGATATTACACTCAAATCTCAAATAATAGTTCAGGATATGACACTCAAATATTAAACAATATTTCGGGATAATACACTCAAATATTAAATGATACTTCATGATAATATTCCAAAATATTCAAATAATAAAAATTGCCGACGAAATTAGGTAACGGAAACTAACCTGGAAGTTACCCATACATTAATAACAATGTCAACCAATTAACTATTTAGCGGTGTATTAAATTTTAAACTGAACTAGTTTGGTTTGGGCCACTGTTTGTAAATATTTATTAACATTTATGTATACCCTTTTAGGATCGAGAACACCTCAAGAATTGAAACAAGGCCATCCATTACCTCAGCAAAACTTGGCGAGATTAAATGGTAATAAATGTATTTATATATTTACCTGATAGAAAGACAAACAACTTCGAACTGAATTAAATCATGATAACAACAACTGGGAGTTAATTACAGATCCTCACAAATAGAAACATATTAAGGAATCTTAGTGCATAATATAACTAACGTATTACGTTAAAGACAACTGCAATTGTAAGCGATGTGATGGCCCTAAAAGCCAAAAAAGTGCCCACTCCGTCTTGTCCTTGCCGAAATTACACGCGTATTGAAAATATCTAGATAAATATATGAATTATACTAAAGATTGTACTAAACCTTCAAAACTACCTGAGCAAATTTATTTTGTGCAGCTGGTTTCTTTTTATGATATCAAATGACGGGAAGAACAAGTCGTGGTAAGCGATACACCTGTCCATAGCAAGTGCAGTACCATTCAGATCTTTAAATGGCAAAGATCTAAAGTGCACCGCCACTGTGCCCGTCACCCTGAGACATAAGTTGACAAGTACCAAGTGCCTGTTATTTTATTAGCACCTTTAGTCTTCGAACTGAAACGCAGTAATGATCGTATTACTGCTTGACGGCACAAAATAGGTAAGTGGCAGTACTTTCTGGACGAACTCTACTGCCACTAAAAAAAGATCCAAGTTGATTTTTAATTCTTGTAACTTTCGTACACTTTAGTTGTAAAAGTTTTCAACTCTTTTTGCTTTATCACAAAATCGACAAAAATAAATGCGTTTTCTTTCATTTTTAAATATTCTAATTTTTTTGCGCTAAATGTACTGGCGTATGCACAAACATCATCATCCTAATTTAGGAGCCAGGCTCTTGTCGGTGTAGCCTCCTCCACTCCGAACGGCTCATAGCCAACTCCTTGAATTTATAGCTGCTAACTTTCATCTTCATCAATTCACTATACGCTATTCTTGGTTCACATTTTCCCTTCTAAACACAAATATTTATTTTCATTTATATTCTCTTGCAGGACAAAGAACGCCTCAAGAATTGAAAAAAGATAACGTAGGAACTAAACAAAACTCAACGAGATTGAATGGTAGTAAAAACGCGAAGAATGATAATAATGAAAACACTTTTTGGGGTGTGGGTGTCGTGAATAACAGGTTTCTAAAGAACAATGAAGATTATTATTAGCTGTCCAACGTGAAAACATTGTCGACCAGGAGGCTTTATGCCGCAGAACGCGGCCATCCATGAAATTTTGTATTTTTAAGTAGAAGGGTAGAATATTTCATCGTTTTTCTTTTTTCATTAAGCGCATAATAGTGTGTTACATCCTATAATTAATGTCATATTCATCTCCTAAACATATGTATGCGTTTACTGAAGTGAATATAATATACTAAAAATTGTAATCAATTTGTGTCGTTAGTCGTTATCAACTTCATGCAGTCGAGGTCTCGGATAACGTCTTCATGTATTAACTGCAAACAGTCGAAACCGACTTCATGCAACCGAGATCGACAGCATAGGTACAGTTAATGCGTCAAGTTGTTATCAACTTCTTGCAGTCGAGGTCTCGGCTAGTCTTCAAAATAAATATATTTTTTTATGTTAACAATTACTTAACTCCATCGTCAAAAAAATTGCAATGACAGTTGAATAATAGCTCGGTGGGTAGCCACTGACAAGACACTACTCCTAGTTTTTAGCAGAATACCAAATGCACAAAATCCTGCCTTTGGCACTCGTCAATCGCAGGATTTTGTACGTCATCACAGATCATAACATACGTCTATAATAACATAACTCTACCGACACACAACTGAGATGATACAAAATTAGCAGATTTGGGATTTAGGAGAAGTCACGAAAAACTATTGGTTGCTAAAATGCTTTGTTCCAGCTTGGGTAGATAATAAAAATAAAATAAAATATCTTATTTTCAGACAACGACTTTTTCCATGGATTGTTTTGTTAGTAAACAAAAACCTTAATAGTTATGTTGATCTAAAATTAGTACATTACCGTCAGCTCGGTCACCGAGACGCGCGTGTAGAGTGCCTACCGAGTACAGCACTATCCAGCTTTCCCGTGACAACTTGTAGTTTGTTTGTTTTAACTGCCTCCGTGGCCGAACAGTTACCATGCCGGACTGCCACGCAGAGGTCCCAGGTTCGATACCCGGGCCGGGAGAAATATTTGTATGACCTACATTTATTTCTCTCGTGAGTTTGGGTGTAATTTGTGGTTGTCTACGTGTGTGTCCATGGCACCCGCGACACAGGGTTTCCCTAGTGCGGGGCTATGTTGAGTGTGTGCGTTTGTGTGCGTTGCGATCAGTGCAAAAAAGTGGTCTGTGTGCTCCTCAGAAATCATACCTGACGCACTGCAGTGTCGAGGAAGCCCCATCATCAACCGGTGCTGTACGATTTTTGAGTATAATTGGTCCATAGACTGCTGGTGTAGTTTGGATGGATAATTAGATACGTTCTTATGTTTCAGTACAGCTTGCACAGTAAAATCCTTTTATGTTCATACATTCTTAAATAAGAAATTTAATCACACTAAACTCCAATTCAATTAAACTGCTTTTACAAGTCTCTCGAATTCACACTCCATGAACTCTTCGGTTAATGAAGTCTACCAAGTCACTTCCGCTTAGTTGGCTCGGATAAGGAAAGCGATTTGCCCATCGATTTCGTCGTCGAAATGTTCAATTGAATTCGCTTTATTAATTCCAATCTGCTTAACAGCTTCACATTTATCAATTCTGTAATTATTGTCATCGTAAATGTATGCGTGTTGTTGTAGTACCTACCTAGTAAGGTTTTTTATACGATGTGGTTTATTTCTGACAGCGCCAAATAAACATTGGAGTGATTACTCCACCGGTAAGAGATTAGCTTTTATCGCAAATCACAAGTCATCTCTATTTAGTGCCCTGATTTTGAATTTTTAATAGATTTATATTAAGTTTTTCTCTGACTTCTTGAACTTCCTCTTTTTTTAACCGACATCAAAAAAGGAGGAGATTCTCAATTCGCTTGTATTTTTTTGTGTATGTTACACAATTACTCTTTTTTTTTAATTTGTAAACCGATTTAGATAATTTTTTGTTGGAAAGAGGATACCGAAATAATGGTCCTATTTAAATTTGAAGAAAATATTACACTTCTAAGGGTGGCTAACTAGGGGATAAATCCGGTTTTGCGCACTTTCTGGTAATCGATTTCAATAAAACTTGGCAAATAGATGTAATTGCACGAACTTTTGAGATCGGTTTTTTCAAGTATCTAGATGAGTTTGAAATAGGTTGTTATTCTAGAAAGTCATCGAAACGTGAATTTAATACCTACAGGGCTTTAGTTGAAAGTCAAAATAATAATTTATCTCTGTAGTTCTTAAAGAGAAATATCTCTATAGGAAAATTGTGTGCAAAGTTAGATACTTATTTTAGACTTTTATTTTACCGTGTTTTCAGGATTTTATATGATCGAGTGAAGTACATCCTATCGTGTAACAAATTAGCACATTCTTTAGACAACATCCTTAGATGTATCGTATATTTTTGTAAGACTGTTATTTAATAGTAAATACCTACACCATTTGATCTAGCAAAACAGGTTTTCCTCTTCTCCGATGACTCGCCTTAACCTTTATTTGGGGGCAGCTCCCGATTCCGGTAAAAAATGACAAAAAAGGCTTATATTCTTTAAAAAAATAAATGTAAGCGATCGCTCCTGTCTTTGCAGAAATCGTTATTGGTTCGTGGTTAAATCACCTAGCAACAATAGCAAGTAACATTTAGATTTTTTTAATTACGTACAATTTTTATATATAGTGCAACACAGACAGCCATTGTGTAATTACTTGGTGTTTAGAAAACACTCCGCTTGCCGGTCTGATGCAGCAAACGAATAGCATTAGGTGAAAACTGAAAATCAGCAATGCTGAGACTTTGACCTTTTTGTCGACATCACTATTTTTGTCTTTAATTGATCATTTCTTGTTTTTATTTTAATTTTATTTATAATAAGTAAGATTGCACTAGATACATTTAATTTAATGGAATTAGCAGTAAATATAATATAACATTAATATAAAATTATAATAAATTAGTTTTATTTATTCTTTTATTTCGTCATAATCGTTAACGTAAGAAAAAGGAAGTTCACACGTTTTTGACATTTTTTATAATATCAAGTGATATGGTGAACAAGTCGTGCGCCTGAAGGTAAGCAACACGCCTATCCATAACAGTGGTAGTGCCACTCAGAGCTTTAACTCATAATGTGAGCATTACTGCACGATGGCAAAATTAGGTATAGAAGCAGTGCTTCCCTGGGCGAAAGCTTTTATAAGAAGTTCTACTGTTTAAAACACGTGACATGCAAGTACAAAAACGTTTTATTGGTACAGTTCATTTGTGTGGTAGTGAAAAGTAGGACTTCCAACGTAAAAGGCAAATATTGTCCCAACTACTGCGTCTAACAAAAGAACACTCATAGCCCCGGACTAGGGAAACCCTATGCGGGTGCCATGGGTACACACATGGACAACCATAAATTACACCCAACTCATGTGAGAAATAAATGTAGGCCATACTAATATTTCTCCCGGCCCTGGAATCGAACCCGGGACCTCTGGTCGACCCGTATGGTAACCGTTCGGCGAGGGAGGCAGTTCTTGGAGGCACGGAGGCGGCACGGCCAAGTGGTACAAAGCTAAACATACACATTTTCTCGAAAGGATTCAAAGCACCTTCCTATACTTCTTTCCTGTACCTTTTATTACTTTATTACTCATAGTCAATAGACTTCCCTAATTCAAGATCAGTCCACCTTAATTGCTGTACTATTATTGTTTTGATTAAGCCTAAAATAGGTTTTGATTGGAGAGGCGGCGTTTCCTGGCAGGTTCAGGGCCTGAAGTTCAAGAACCGCCAAACGATATGTTAGTTAGTTATTATTATTTAACTATCACGCAATTCTAGCAATAGAGCTCTTTGTGGAAAACGTCGCCCAAGGAATTACTTACCTTACCTTCACCTGTTTTTGCCGCCTTGTAATAATGTGACCATTACTGTGTTCCGGTTTTGAAGGATAAGGGTACTGGTGAAATTATGGGCACATGGGCCTTGTCAGCTTATGTCTCAGGGTAACGGGAGCAGTGGCAGTGCCCCTGAGATCTTTGCGATTAAAGTTCTGAGTGGCATTACAACTGTTATGGTGTGTCGTTTATCACCAGGCGCACGACTTGTTCGTCCCGTCTCTTGGTATCATGAAAAAAAAAAATGCAAAATAGATCCCGAAGAATGTTTTTTTTGTCAAGTGTCTTCGCTGCAACTTTTATTCTATCAGTTTTACTTTTTATTTTTAAGTAACGTTCAATTTCGTGAACACTCTCTTCTTAGTCCATGTAAGTGTTATTGTACCCTTTTGTTATATTTTGTAGGATAATTTCCGTAGTACTCCTTTTCGCTAGAGTAATTTTGCCTTTGTTGTGGTTTCATCAGCCCGCCTTGCCTTGGAAAATATTTTGTATATTGCCTTTATGTCTACAGTAAAACGTTCTTCTTCACGATGTTAGTTACGGCAAATTATCTTCGTAGGGGAGAGCGGGGCTGAACGTTCCGATTTTCAAATAACTTGCAGTTTTATACTGAAAATAAAGGATTTAATTTTCAACATGTAGAAATGTTGAACAAATGTTTATCGCTTTTTGTAATAGTATAGTCACTACTAATATCTCAATAGTCTTTTTCATTTTTTTTGAATGTGTATTACGCGGTAACTCCGGTATTTGTAAACCGATTTTGATGATTCTTTTTTTGTTGGGAAGAGGATACCTCTATAATGGTCCCATTTAATTTTGGAAAAAATCATCCACCCCTAAGGGTGGCTGTTCACGCATGAAGATTCATTTTTATAAATAGCGCCTAAATTTTATCATAAGGAGCATTGACTTACAAAATAAGGAGCCATTATTTTAATGGTTGATTTTGCTATTCTTCAATTCAAGGCGTTGTTCCTCTCTCAATATACTTTGAGTAGTCTATTAGCGTTGTAGTTTTCAATAAAACTTGGCAAATAGATGTCATTCCACGTACTTTTGAGGTCGGGTTTTTTAGTACTCTGTACTGAGATTATTACACGTATTATTGTGGATGTAACGATATTTTTATTTGTATGGAAGTTTATGAATGTAGTAATTAAACCCTGAAAAAAGTTTAAAGTACGTTTTAATATTAATTAAAAATATGTCCAAGAGAAGAATTATTAGTGATACAAAGATCGAACAAAAAGAAATCCAGTTTAAACAACCTTCAAATGGCTTTGGTTGATTCCGCATATATAGTAAAATATATAGTAAAATAGAGGATCTACACTAATTGCTACATGGTGTGAAAACACGATTCCTAAACATTTTCACGATAGAAAAAAAAACTACAAACTTACCTCGCAATTTTACAAGAAAACCGCTGTATTCAATAGGTACGTTATATGTACCAATGTTTTTTTTTAATATTATTTCAATTGAAGTAAATAGAACACATTATATATACAATACACATTTTTCAAATGGCTTTGACTTCGTTAGTAAAAAACAAATTCTGAAACAAAGGCAGTGTCCCCGCCGCTCGACCCAAGCAAAATGAACCGTATTAGTACGGGACAAAATTTAAATTCGAACTAAGGTAGTATCGACTCTTAACCGCTCACGCGATGCGCTCCTCCTGCCGCAAAATGGCGGCTATTTGATTTCGCAAATTAGAAAAGGATTCAGTTTAAATACAAGTTTTTATAAATAAAAATTATTATTCTGCATTGCTAAATAAATACCCTCCGTACTACCAACAAAAACATCTCAAATAAAATGCAGTAATACACCGCAAATCCTGCACTTAAAAAGCACTAATGAAATTTTTGGTGTACTTGGATAAATATGATAATATTCCGTTTGAGTGGTTCTAACGTTTACTATGAAATTACTCCTTAAAGTATAGTTTATAAACATTTATATTTAGGGTAAACTTAAAAAACGCTACTTATGGTATGTTTTTAATAAATAAACACCGAAATAACCAGCCCAAACAATAACACACACGATTGTCGTGACGTATTTTTGAAGTTTATTTTTTTAAATGACAGACCCACGCATTAAAAACTTTATGGTTTGCTAGAGTAGTTACCGAAATAGCAATTAATATTAGTTCTTTTACCTGTTACAAATTCGATATCCGATAAATCGGTATAAAATCATCACCGGCACCTCTAGGTGTGGTATGCGTCTACGGCTGCATGTATCGCGTGAGCGGTTAATGGCAAAAAAGCCGTTAAAAACCAAAAACAAAGCTTTGCAACAAGCACAGAAAAATTCGCAAAAGAGCGGCTAATTCGTTCCGTAGCTCAGTTGGGAGAGCAATAGCCCCGGTAAGGCGAAATAGTCGCTGGTTCGTGTCCAGCCAGATCGGATTTTTCTTTGAGTTTGTTCGATTTGTATATCAATAATAATAAAAAATATGATATAAGTGACGGGACGAATAATTCGTGCGTCTGGCGGTAAGCGTCACGCCTGTTCATAACGGTTGCAGTGCCGTGCACTGGCACTCCGCCCGTCACCCTTGAGACATAATTTGAAAAGTGCCATGTGCTTGTAATTTCAATCATGATATTCGATATAATAAATAGGTACTACAAATGTTAGAAATAACAGTCGATTAAAGTAACACTTCATTATGACAGACATAATAATGTGCATTCTCTTCTTCTCAAACGACTCTAGTACCTATGTTTAGGCACGCTCTAGTGATAATTGGATTGGTCCTAAAGCCCTTATTCAGCAAATGTAAGTTGCTTGGGAAATTATCGAAGCGGCTCAGCTGTGTAGTGTATTCGAGCAAACTATTCCGGAGACGTTCAAATGTAGACTTGCTTTAATTTAGCTATTTCCACTGTCTAATGACGTACAGCGTTTCGCTTTGGGGAAATAATGTTAAACAGAATATAAGGAAAATAGACACTGCTCT